AGACATGGGGACTGTGGCAATGCGGACACGCGGGTTCACTCAACGTGCAAAAGCAGTGAGGCACAGCGAACCAACTCCAGATGCTTCATTTCTCTTTTACGGTAACAGTGGTTTCATCCCATCGGCCTCAGGGGGCCGGGTTCAAATCGTGCGGTACCCGGGCAGTGTGGCACAACTGGCTCCATGCTGGGAGGAGGGTGCAATGGGCAGTGAATACCGGGTTCCAGAACATTACCAAACATCTGGCACCACTGGGCGAAAGTGCTCACATTAAATGAAATAATTGTCTTTCATGTTGGCTCCAAATCTATTGAAATTAACATTTCAGCTGAAACCTAACCTTAGATCTTAACAATAATCCATAAGAGAAAACCGAAGGGTTCTTCTTTATAATTCACAGTACTTTCTACAAAGTATCACAGCTCAGACATGCCACTTTAAATCTGGCAAATCTGATCACTGGATTAAATATTACTTGAGGAAAAACATGCATGCAGACATCAACAGCTTGTGGTGGGTAACTGTATTTCAAGAGTCTATAGAACTGAAATTGTTACATAAGACTGTACTGCATGAGAAATATGTAATTATAATGCTCAACTTTAAATTTCATAGCACTTATGTACTATAATATTTTTAAATTAATACGCTGCTGAGTTTGAGCTTTTATCGTAATTTCTAGACAGATTTGTATCCAAAATATTGTTTACCTTCTGATTTCCAAACGCACCAGATTTATTTAAAGCTAATTGAAAGCATCAGACTGCTATCTGTGCCTTATTATCTCTTAAATCTGAATGCACCACTTTTTGTTTTTGCTATGACAAAAGAGGCATCATTGCAAATGCAAAGACAGGTTTTAAACCTTTTTTTTCAATGTTAGTAGAATTTCTTACCTAGTTTTGCTCACCCTTCAGGAACTGTCCACCATTTATTAGGCTTGTTCATTTAGAATGAAACAAAAGAAAGCAAAGGAAGAGCACATTGAGTGCATTTACCTTCAGCCCAGGGGATGAAGCAAAGTTCCCAGCGCAGTCAGGACACTGTCAGGGCTCTGAGGACGCAGAAGCAGGGTATGTGAAACTGTCTCACATGCCTGCAGGATAGTTGCAGGCTGACATGCCGATCAGAAACGGAGATCACGAGCCTGGCCTCTAAAAGTCTCATCAAGGAAATGCACACCATCCACTCACATCAATCAACCCATTAAAGACCCCCGGAGCCAAACGCTCACTGTGTCCCCTGGGGGCCTCGGACTTTGTGTGGCACAGACGCCCACACACTTCCCTTCCCCACTCCAGGTCTGGGGCCCAGGTGCATGGTCTCAATCCAGTCATTTGTTTTTAATTTGCCAGCAGCCAAAACACCCTAAAACTCACAACTGGCAGCCCACTGAAGCTCAGCAGGTGTGAGGCTGGCCAGTACCTGGATGAGAGACCTCCTGGTAAAAACTAAGGAAGGTGCTGGAAGAGGTGTTAGTGGGGCCAGCAGTGTGCTCACCCCACGGTCTGTGTGGGTCCTAATGCCCCAGTATAGAGATGGGGACACTATACTGTAAAAAGGCACCGTCTTTCAGGCGTTTCTTGAAAAGAGCTTCTATGAATTGGGTTCATCACTGTTCTCCTCTCCACTAATAGCTGGTGTGTGGGGAGTGTACTGGTGCACTATGGCTGCTGTTGCATCATCCAGGTGGGTCTCACAGATCTTACAGCATTTGTCATTTTTGGAATAAAGATCGTTGGGTATTGGACAAACGCTCTCGACGGCAGAAGTAGCCACTATGAACCAAAAGCCAACTGCAGGATTCAATTGACTCAGGACACTATTGCAAGGCCTGACGCATACTGCCACACCAAAGGCTAATTGTTCATACCACCACTCCCTTTATGGTCCCTGCCGCTGTGCAACACAAAGTACTGCACCATCCGGAGACTGAAGCTCCACCAGGAAGTGACAGCTTTAACTGGCGGTTCAACAGTTTTCCAAGTAGGCAACAGAACACAGAGCAAAGCAAACTTTTGTCGGGCCACAGGCAGAAACGATACACTCCCAATCTCGGCGTAAACGGGGTTTCCAATTTCTCTCGTCTCACTGACAGGACCTGCAGGAGCTTTTCATTCTCCTTCACACCCACACCTTTCAAGTGATGCCAGAGAATAGCCATCGATACTTGAAGGAATTTGAAAGAGAAAGTTAAAATTTATTTTAACCCCCACCCCCCAAAAGAAAAAAAAATCAGTGACATTACTTTATAGAATTTGATCTACTGTGCTTAAAAAAGTGTTTTTCTGATAAATCAGATATTTCATCATCCTTCCTCTATTTAGTGGCATGCAAAATACCCATCTGTCTTCCCAGAAACCCACTCAACAATCTGTTTAGCAGATACTTCAAATAGCTGGGGAGTGAAAAATTTGCTGTAAATCTATCAACTTAAAAAAAATTACATACCCAGAATGTTTTTAAGCAAACGTCTTTGATGGCATTTCTGGCTTCTGGTTTCGACAGATGATGGTTTTTTTTCCAGAACACTGTGATCGCTGGCTACGGCGCGATGTGGATCATTAGGGATAGCCTGGGAGCACTGTAGCCTCACCTTGGCCTGGGAGACACTTGAACCCTCTTTACTGTACACTACTGTAAGTCACTGATGTCCTTGCCACTGGACACTGTTTGGCAACATCTTAAAATCAAAGGAACCAGCAGACTTGATGCGTTTTCCTGTTGTTCGATACAGATCTCTATACAGTCTGCGACCAGGGTGGTCTGGGCTGCCTGTCTGCTGTGCATGTGTGTCATTACTACCGTATGTTGGAGGGCGAAAAAGGGCATTTCCGAGACCAGCGCAGCTAACAGCCTCAATACACACCAGAATGCAGTGAATTATAATAGTGAACTATAATAAGAGGGTTAAACTGCACTCTCCCTCTCCCTGAGTTTTCTGAGTGAATTTCTCCATCAAAATAAGGAGCTGGATTAGTTAATGCATGGAAATTGCATAGGCCGCTTACATATTTGCCAAAACATACCCAAACACCTTCTTAGTAGTCACCAGCTGGCATGTTACAGCAACGAGCATGAGAGAACAACGTGACGAATTAAATAAAAAGAAAGGCATTATTATGAGCAGGGCCTGGAGAAGAGAAATGATGGTTATAGCCAGTGCTAAGCAGCCCCTCCGTCAGGCTGTGTGACAGATCACCTTGTAGCTTGATCTCGCCAGGTACTGGACAGTACTGGGATGGGAGATCTCTAAGGAAAACCAGGTTGCTGCTGTAAGTTGTGTTAGTGGACCAGCAGTGGGTGCTCATCTGCCTGAACTAGAATTTCCAAATCACAGGCCCAGTATGTTGACTGTGGGCACTGTGTTGTACAGTAGGAGGTGCCCTGCCTTTGGATGAACCAAGGTCCTGACCACTTGACATTGTTGGAAAGACTAAGTATGTTTAGTCCTGCTGTCCTGGCTAAATTCCTCTGTGTGCTTGAGCAATCTGGCTTCCCTAAAGTGTTAACACCTGATCCGCTGTGCAGACACACAGCTGGGGCTGCAATTCAGTGGCGAAGTGGGTCCCTTCATACATGTGAAGTGCTCTGGGAACCTTGGGGATGAAAAGCTCTCTGTAACAGATGGTTATGGCATCAGGAGGTTAAAGCAAAGCAGGATCTGACAAGTGGAAGATCCCCATTAAGCAGTGCAGCTAGTGTGGCTGGCAAAAGCACACTAAAGGCCAGGCACATAGGAATCTGCATAGTAATCTCAGTGCAAGCCACTGCAATGTTACAGGATGGCAATGGCATCCATAAACAACCTGGGTGACGAAGAGGACTGACAGCCCCAGCAGGAGAGGGCTTTGTAAAGTGATGTAACACAACCAGAAAAAGAGTGTCGTGACTTCAGCCCCCAGGCATTGTTGTGTTAGAAGTAAGGTTTGCATTTCCTGTATTCCAGGCGCGCCTTTCCAATGACCGGCCTCTCTCCCCACACCAGCTTGTGCTGCTCTGCCCCTCTGCGATCATGGGCAACATCATGCATCTGTCCAGTAGCAAGCCCTGGAAACTGCGAATCCTCAGCGCTGCGCTGTGGCTCATCAGAACTGAGAGCACTGCAATGCCTTGCTGGGTGCGTCAAGCCTGTGCAAAACATGACACCATCAAGCAGGACACTTTTATGCATCAACCGTTACATATAATTCTTGAGGAATTATTCAACATTGAAATAATTGTGATCCTTACCCCAGCTCTGACTTCACTTCAAAGCTTCTTGGGGACTTTCAAATGCAATTTCGACAGCAGTTACTTTGCTAAACAAACAGGTCTTTGATGAGGCTCATTAAGTATGATGCCTAAGAAGCAGAGAATTAAGAGTGCAGCTCACTGTGGACACGTTGCGGTCACTTCAGAGCTGAAAATAAAAAGAGGCCACAGGAATTCTGTGAATACTTGTCAGCCGAAAGGATTTAAGGGGCAGTGGAGCTGGTGACCGAGCTGGAAGGCAGTGCAGTCTGGTATCCCTCCCTGTTCGATTGAGGCTGTCAGGATTGATGAGTCCAGGGGGTCACGGCGCACAGAGCAGAGCCAGACACCTGAACCGCCCGCTGAAGTCCACAGAGACAGCGGCCATCGCCAGCGACTGCACTAACACTGCAGAAACCTCAAACAGGTTTATAGACAAACTGAAGTGCCCGAGTCACTGCTGGCTTTTTTTTTCTTCAAATATTTACTAAACATATGCTTACTGCACACACGCAGCATGCAGTACATGAACTAAACTAAGACCTTGATCATTCAAGGCCCGGGAGCAGCACATTTACACTGGGAGCTCTGCTCACGACAGCGGAGACTCGCTTTCATGCTGGCTTGAAGGAAAAAATCACAAGTGCCGTCACTGTACTCCGCAGCCATATTATTAGTGTCACTCTTCATACAGTTTCGAAAAAAGCTGGATCAGCGCAGAGCAGCCCTCGCATGTCGTCAAGGGGCAATTTAACAGCCAAGATAAGCCCGCATAATGGTCAGCAGCCCTCCAGGTGAGGACGTCGCTGTGGGCACAGTGACCTTGACTCCATTCTTCACGGGGAAAAACAGAGGCTGTCCTGGTTAAAAAGCCCTTAGGCAACAGTCGTGCCATGTTAGGAAAGCAGTACGTGTGGTATGTACACTGCGATGATGTCAGGCTGTTAGCATCATGTGCTGCTGCTACTGACCGGTGCCCCATTCAGCAGGGACGACCGAGCCTCAGATAAAAAGGGCTATATTTTATCTGAGGCTCGGTCGTCCCTGCTGAATGGGGCACCCCAGACACTAAATGTGTTACAAAACAAGGATACATAATCTATCATATCTTACAAAGTCACACCAACGGGTTGATTTTAGGTTTCTATTGAATGATGCAAGAGGAATGCCCAACTATTAGGTAACTACAATATTCACTTTGGTTTACTACTAATTTGGCTGACACTTCGAAAGTGATTTACATTTATACAGCTGGGTATCCGAGTATACAACTGAAGCATGTGAAGTACATTCAAGGGTATAAGAGGGTATTATATCCTAGTGACCCACCTAGGATTTAACCCTACAACCTTACAGATATGAGCCCAAAGCCCTTACCACTGCTCAAAACTGATGCCTATCACATGGAACAAATCACTTCAGACAAACTGAAAACCTAATGCACAACAACACAACACAAAAATAATAGACTGCAATCTTTAATCTTGGACTGCAATATTATGTAATGTGGTTCTCATAAACCTTAGCTGACAAACGCGGTTTGTGAAAAGTACAACACTGTCACTGGTCAACCTTTTTGCCCTAATTCCGTTCCAGACCCATCTGAAACTCTACAAACCCGAATCACATGAGTTATCCGTATCGGAGAGGATCTGATAAACAACAATTTCCAAACAGGGCTGCTATTTAAGGAAAGGTTGAAGAGGACCTGGCTGTGTCCTGTTGTTACCCTGATGTATTCGCCCCTCCCCCTGCTTCAGTGACCTGCATATCAGAAGTGACAGAGACCCTTTATGAAGCATCATACTGGCTCAATTCATCAAAGCGCTCCGGTCCCTGGTGCTACTCAGGGGGGAGCTGTCAGGTCAGGCATGAGGCAGTGATGCACTGACAAACAGGGCTCATCAATCCAGGGCGAATTTACAGGAACATGACAGTTTGCAGGTGTTGGCATTTATGTCGGAGCACACAACTAATAAATTAGTGCTCACTTCAAACTGCCCCCCTCCCCCACAGTCCGGAAGGCGGACACAGCCTTAAAGTGATGGGAGGCAGCAATTATAATTGCTCCTCCACAAAAAAACTGAGGACTGGCCAGGCCCTAGTGGACAGCACCGGTCTGAAATCGGACGCAGGGAAAGTGACAGACAGGCCCAATGCAATTACATGTGCCAAGAAACAGCACGATCTGTCTCTGAACAATTTTACAACTCCAGATAAATTTATACTGCTCACGGGTTCGAAGTTCACGCCAACAATAACTCGCCCTTCCAGCCCGTGTCTCAGTGTTCTCTCACTCGTGAGCAAAAACCCCAGAGTGCCTGCAGAGGTGAATCTGGAAAAAGCAGACCACAGACACAACTTTGCGCAACTGAGGACACAATAAAACAGTGAAACTCCGTGCTTGACCACAGAGAAGAAATGGACCAGGAGCTGATAATCTTGCCTTTGCATACAATTTACTGTGACACAAGATAAAAAGCAACCCCTTAACAATTTCTTTATTCCACAGTGGGTTCAAAATGATGTAGATGTCAATTTTATGGTTTACATGTTATTTACACCTGCATCTCCATTGAGTCATCAAACATGTTTTATTTAACTACCTTTAACTGTATTTTTGTCCCCGAAACCAGTCACACAGGCAATTTCACTCCAGGCAATTTTTTTTAAGGTCTTGAATCTCACTGAGTAACTGTCAGCATCCTGTTAATCCGAAATAAAAAAGAATCCCTGCAGGTCAGTTTGTGGTTGCAAAGCCTTCTGTTGTCTCTGGTATCTAACACTTACTGCGGCTCTAGCCTATCAAATTAGCTGCCAGGGATCATGGAACAATCAGATGAAGGGCTTCTATGCAGGGCAAAGACAAAATGCTTATCATCCACCCACACGTCTGCCTAGAAAGGCAAAAGAAAAACACTCAACATGACTCAGCTTCTTTGCCTTTCCTTTCTCTGTGTGAGGAATCTGCCTGGTATCTGCTGCAGTTCACTTGTGCTTCCACTACAGTTATACCATGAATTTTCCGAGCTTTAATGCACCTTTCTGTGCTTCGCCAGTCTTCTGCTCTGATGTGCTTTCTAGGACTTTCCACTCTGGTCCAGCACAGAACATTCTTACTCCTTCCCAGTTCTGTGGACATGGGAGCCCTGAACTTTTTGAATCGAGTGCTCATCTGTAAACTGTACGTTTTTCTAAGCCTACCCATTCATTTGCAGATTTCAGGCTTTTACAGGTCTTTTCCTTTCCTATCCCTGCTCCCTTTCTCCGTTGCCACCACACCTAAAAGGTTTTTTTTTCTCCTTCATTCTTTTAGCTCTTCAGCATGGAATTAACCTCTGCTTGTTCCTTCTAACTACATTTCTGCTCTCAATTGCTTTGTGGTTCTGCAGCGCTTGGATAACAAGAAAAGCTGTCAGAGAAGTCCAGTGTGTCTGGGATTTACAGAGGTTGTGCAACAGTGTTTATTAATATTACTGAATGAATCTCATCAGCACTTCAGCCTGGTTCGCTGGAAACTTCAAAAGTGATATAATCAGGTGTAACAAAATACTTGGGTTCTAATGTTTCCAAATACCAAGTACTGTAATTACAGAGCTCTTTAAAGTAAAAATATCTACAATATATCCTTTGCACACTGAAACACATTTGTCCATAAAATGTTGTTATAGCTTTAGAACAGTTATGTATTAAATAAAAATATACATGTAATTGGAGTGCATCATATGATACTTGTGCAGTGGTAACACATTCAAGGGTACACAACAATGGATGTAATTACCTGTTGAATGAAAACACCCCTCCCCACTATTCTGTGTGACCTGGGTCAGCGACCTTTGACATCTTATAGCTCCGACTGCCCTCCTGGGCGGTAGCAGGGCCATGGCAAAGAGCAAGAAAGGGGTGTCTACCAGTGAGCCGCGTCAGGACAAATACAAACAGATCAAAGCTCTGCACTGCACAGACTCTTTTAATTCATTTCAGGAGTTTGGGCCTTCTCGGGTCTGACAGCGAAGAGGCTATTTAAAGGCAGCGGGCGCACAAAGGGCAGAGCTACAGCAGAGCTGCGCGCATTAAGCCTCAGGGTCAGGTCTGACACCTGAACGACCCTGAAAGATCGGCCGTGACCTCATCTCAAGGGAAACAGTCCCGATGCACCCTAGCCCCTGCCCTGGCCCTGGCCATCTGCGTAGCACTGCAGAGCAGGCAGGCTGGACCACCAGGCCTGAACTACTGGAGGAGGACACATAGCCCACCAGCCTGTTCCATTTAGCATACACACACACCCTGCTCTTTGCTCTTCACTGTATAACTGTCACGACAAAGCTCTTACACACAATAACAAGGGACAGTGTCGTTCCAGCACCGGCACTGAATTGTCGCCACACCCACCCACGAGGCCGACCTTTCATCGTTCATTCAGCAGGAGGGGGCGTGTTACGGCTGCCAAGGCTGGCGACGTGTGGGCCGAGAGTCCCACAGCCCCAGCGGAAGCCGCCAAGCTGGCCGCTCCTCAGCCGAAACCCTGCGTTCTGGACCGGCGTGCATGTGTGCGTGAGGGGAGAGCCGAGATCCCACCCCCTCCCTCCCAGCTGAGAGGCGGGGGAGGTGGAATAAACACTCACGACGAGGTGTTGAAAGCCCAGGCCTGGCATCCGGCCAGAGGCCTCATCCCGCTCCGCTATGACCGAACGCCCGGAGCAGCTGTGCGCCCAATCTGCGCGGATCTGCAGGAACGGCAAGCCCACGTGCCCTGCTGCCGCTTTGATTTACAGCGCCAAGAAGGCAGAGCAGTGATCTCGACGCCGAGCAGAACGGATCTTGGTGAAAGCAGCCGCAGGCCAGGAGGATGCTGGACCAGCCGGGCCGCATCATGAAGTCATGGGAACATACAGTAACTGGAAGAAAGGTCAGAGAAAGAAGAGGCCCTTCAGATCCTCTAACCCCTCTGGTAGTTTGTAGCTAATCAGTTTCCTCTTGCGTGCTCTGGTTCATTTTGAAGAAATCCACTGGGATAACTTTGATTTTGGACACTCGAGCCTGGGTCCCGAGTCCTTGTCTGTCTCAGAATCCTGAAGTTAGGCCCATTACTGACGCTTGGTGTGAAATGCTGTACGTGCACTACAGTGTGAAGAGACACAAATGTTTAACCCATGAGTTTCAGACACCTCGTCACACCACCCATGTGAAAGTGACAGAATGCACCTTATACTAACACCCACCAATCGCACTCTGCAGGGGAAAGGGTCAAATTCGAAAAAGCCACATTAGCAGATGGAGGCCCAGATTAATGTACTCCAGCCACTCAGGCATGTACAGTAGTAACCCTTCATTGTGACTCTGAGTAGCTCTGCAGAACAGGCCATAAGAAAGAGCTGAAAAGGAAAAGGTTTTAAAACTCCAGCAAGCTTTAAGGAGGCTGACCCCAGAGCCAAACGACATTCAATCATTCGGCCACCTTCTGCACCCAGATGAGAAAAGTGGTCTGTTCCACTTAACCCCAGTTCTTTCTGCTGAACATTTCAGTCAGAGCCTTTTTTAAAAACACAAAACACAGTCTTAAATCACCCCCATCTCCCACCAGATGCCATGAAGCTGATCAGGCAACATGTCCTACTGCCCCCTTGTGGAGATCTGCACTCACGACAATTTCTCTTTCTCTTCTCAACCCGCTCACCTCTGACAGCACACTACGCATTCTAACAAAGGAAACACTGCAGTTGACCAACAGCGCAACCATCGAGTCCACGTTGAAATGTGCGTGAAAACACTTTCAGTCATGCAACAAACAGACAGGTAAAAAAAATGCATTCGTGAGATGCAATGAAAATCATCGGAATATTTATTATATTAAATAAAATCTGACAGGATAAGACAATGAAAATAAGCTCTTAAAATGTTTTAACCAGCGAGTTTACTTACAGCCTGTGACAGGCCTCTCTTATCTTTTCTTAGTACAGCACTTCATGCAGGAGACGTGTAGAACAGCCTTGATTTTCCTGGGAGGCCATTTTAATCTCTGCGCAGCTCCCTGCCCCGTTTATTTTCTGATACAGAACGCAAAACTACAAAGGGGCTGAAAAGAATGACCTTGCTGGCTTTCCAACAAGCAGATTTACAAAAAGGCACTGGGCAGGTGTCTTAGCAATTAAAGACTGCTGTTGCCCATCGTTATCGAAGCACAGTGACAGAGAGCTTACCAAGAAACAGCATGGCTGTAATTAAAACCCCCTTATTGCTATACTGAGAATTACTGCAAGAGAATTAGTGACTAAACAAATGGCAGAGTTCCAAACACAGCAAATCACAACAATCGCACTTCTGCCCTGTGTTTTTCCTGTTGTTTTTTTTTTCATTTCATAATACCGACTGTCTTAAAGGGGACTCAATATGACTCCGTGAAAGTAAACTCATGATGACTGCCATGATGACCTGAGCCCATGACAGGCTGTGAAAGACCTTCACATCTAGAGATGCAGTAAAAGTCACAGGCATGGTTAGCACTGCGCTGGTTGGACAGTATTCACACAAAGCAGACCGGAACTACATCCATTCTTTTAAAAAAAACAAAACCTTTGGATTTCAATCTTCAGGGATTCTAGATGCGTTCAGACAGATATATCGCTGCCTTACAGCCAACCTGTATGGCATTCTTCAAAAGCCAGTAAGCCGGTGCCTGGAAATGAAAACAGAGGGAAAAAAAACTGTATTGGACCTCATGTAACAACACTTGCTGTTTACATACTGTGCTATTTACCCTCAGTTTTAGACTGACCCCACTGTGTTCCCATAGCAAGACATGGACCATGTTTTGAGATGAAGGGTGAGCTGTGCAAACCACATCACAAGATCACACTTAACGCAAGTGCCTCTGCATTCTGGAGACTGTCATATATGGATACGTTAAAGGAGTCAAATCTCTTCAGTCTAGGACAAAGGAGATCGAACAGAGATGTAAGTTAAGTACGTAGAATCTTAAAGAGTTTGGTGTCCTGGTTCAGCCAAGAGGACTACGAGGGTACAGGGTCACAACTGAAAACTACAACCATCTAGGACAGAGAATAGGAAACACTGGTAGTATCTGGAACAGACTTCACAGCATAGCTTTGGATGCACAAGATCCAAACCCATTCAAAAAAGAGCTGATTTACTTGTATACATGAACCACCCATGAGCCAAATGACCTCCCCTAACCTGCAGGCTTCCTCATGGTGTTATTTAATAACTGCTTGGTTCCATACAAGTTCAGATGAGCAGGAGCCTAGGTGATGACAAGATACACCCAGGACAGTATACCAGTCCATCACAAGGCGCGATTAAGAGACACAATCGAACTCAAATGGCCTGCAAGTCTCTGGCCTGCAGGAAGAAACGGGAACAGTCAGAGAAACCTGCGTGGCCACAGGAAGAACAGGCACAGAATCTCCAGGCCAGAATTAAATCCAGGGCCCAAGAGCTGTTAGGCAGCACCGCTAACAACCACACTGCCCTCCACAGAAATCACCTAAACACCACCCATCCTCTCCGACACTTCCAAGTTCTTGAGTTCTTTCCCGCTGGACAGAAAGTAGCAACAACTATAAAACCACATCCCAAAACACCACACAACCTGCTCTACTCGGACTCACCAGTTCTGCGTCGTGCTCCAAGCCTGTATCATGATGCTCCATTTCCTCATCACGGAACTTCTTGATTAACTAGGGGGGAAAAAAAATAAGCTCTAACAAAAATACAATATGGAGCCTCGGACAGCCAGACGTTCACCCTTTTTAATATCTTATTAATTTGGAACTCGGCACATATCAAAGGAATCACATGCAAAAAAAAACCCAAAGACACAAAGTGTTGCATCACCAACGGTCAGGCTTACGTTTAGTAACTCTTTGTACTTTTCCGGATCCACTTCCATCAGAGCTCGGATCTGGCTGTTGTAGTGCTCTGAGATGCTCTCTTCCACCGCCACTGTGCAGGCCATGGCACCCTCCTTCCCCAGCAAGGCTGTGCTGGCACCTGGGCACACAAACACACACGCACATGCTCACATTCATTAACTACACCACCGCGAGCAGCGCTTCGTGTCAGTCTGCAATGGTAAAACCCCACACAGGCAGATCGACGCAGAGTACTGGTAGGTTTGTGATGTGGGCAGATAAGGAGCTTAAATGAAAGGTGATGCCAGCAGAATGTCTTTGTGATACGAGGCACGTACAGTACATACCCAGGCCCTGCTGCAGTGCACCTGGTCGGCGATCCAAGTGTCAGTAAGTAGGAATTTCGCTCAGAATTTAGCAGCACTACAGGATCATATCTGGGATTACACCTGCATTATGCAATAATTTACTGAGCCTGTCTTGTGCCTACTCACCCAGGACAAACCCCGCCACATTCCAGAAAGGCATTAAAATTGTGGGGCGCACTCTGTTCTCAGCCACGAGCTCGTTGAACGTTTTCAGGTGATCTTTCTCTTGGTCCCACATTTCCTGCGGGATTGAAGACACCATTTCAAACTCGTGAGCAAGAAAAGCAGTCAACTTGAAATGAACAGGCAATTAAAAACACAAAACCGAAAGAGAGTCAAGTTAAATGGCATAGCTTTCGAGACTCCTTTAGAAATGACTTTGGATTTAGCAGTGGATTTGATCAGTACTAAATAAACACAACAAGTAGGGACGTCATTATCAACAAGTTTATTCACCACACTAAACACACCCACCACAGGGCCCTGAGTGGGCTAAAACCTCTCTAGCTGAATCAGCCTATAGTGTCTGAAAAGCCCCTTTTAAAAGAAGACTTTTAAAAGAGGACTGCACGCCCCATGTCGGAGACATTCTGTACAGATGAATGTGTAATTCTCAACTCCAGGTCGCACCACTCCTGACTGGTGACCCATGGGGCCTCTGTGGAGGTTTTGTGGGGCAGGTGACTGCGTCGAGCACACACTTGGATGACTGGTCCGGCCTGAGTTCTCCCTAGCACTGCCATCTGGCCGGCGTAGATGTGGTTGGCTCCGTATTCCCCGGCGTGGTCCACTCGCAGCATCCGGTCCAGCATGGCTTTCTCTGCCTGGTCCAGGACTGGGGGCACCACGCTGTAACAGCGGGCCAGTCTGGGCCGCAGGGCTCTGCGGCAGGGCTCTGTTTGGACAGCACACACACGGCAACAGGCCTCTGATTACAGAGCACTAATCACACTAATTCCAACCCAGAACACAAGCACAACTCCAGAGACACAAGCACAGCTATTTCCTTTGAAATTGACATTAAGAAGACATTCAAAGCGCTTCATTGTAAAGTCTGAGTGTAAATGATTTACCAAAAGATTTTAGATTGACCAATTTCCACGTTTGCAGACAGAAATGGAAAAGCCGTAGTGTTGCAGGTCAACAGCATCATGAATGCCTTTTCGAAAGAAGAAAATAACTTCGACAAACCGGGAATAAGAATGTTTACCCCAGCTGCTCCAGGGGCGCTGTACAATGGCTACCCCTGTGCTCTGACCCCAAGCTTCCCTCCCTGTCTGTGTGTCTCATGGAGAGCAAGCTGGGGTATGCAAAAAGACAAATTCCTAATGCAAGAGGTTGTATAGGGCTAATAAAGTGATCTGATCTTAAATTGTCCTGCAACAGCTCTCATGGAATGCATCATTTGCCAGATTTTGATAACAGAGATCAAAACCAGTTTTTAAATTCGCGTGTTTACATTGTGCGATTATGATCTTGAATCGATGGCACCAGGTTGTGCAACAAATGATTCAACCTTCCTACCCGTCCCGCTGGAACCAAACTGCCGAGAACCGAAGACCCGAATCCAGCCGTTCAGTAACACCGGCGCCTTTAGATACTTCTGCATTGCAGAAACGTTTGGAAATATTAACAATAAACTCAGGTGCCTTCAAGATCACATTTAAAGAGAGTGGCAGAAAGTCATTGACACCAGCCTGGTTCAGCAGATTGAATAACAGTAGCGTGAGGCTAACTACATTAAGCGACACGAATGATCCGGAAGTGTATGCAAAAAAGCCGAATTTCAATCAAAATAAAAGTCTTTCGGCTACCACGGTAGCGTGAAGCGGGCTACATTAAGCGGCACGAATGAACCGGAAGTGTATGTAAATAGCCGAAATTCAATCAAAATAAAAGCCCTCCAGCTACCAGAGTAGCATATGAGGAGTATAGCAACATTAAGCGAAGTGACAAGCAGCTGAAACACTTTTTTATTTCTTCATGGTTAACTGTCAGTCCTTGAACATTCAGGCAAAATTTGACAAATCTAAGATTATTACAAGTTTTTATTAATTTTACAGCACCTTTCTTCCATTTCTGCTACTGTTTTTTTCATAGAAATGTTTTTTTTCTGTTCAATGAAAAAGGTTTTAAGATGCAAGCTTTTAAAGGAGCTGTATCTGAAATTTGTAATTAAATCAAGTCCTTTATTATATTTCAATTCGATCAGTTTTTTAAACTATAACCAGGGACAAAAACATTTGTTGCACCATTAAAAGTGGTGAAACATACAATGTTAAGACAGTCAGCCAATAGCAAACCACCCTTCTTCATTCCGTTTTAAGTCTTTATTAATATTGTTGGCCTGGGTGGATCACCTCTAGAAAAACTGCGGTGCAGAATTGGATGGGGAAAATTTGTGCCTCTCCAAAGGTGGATGGAATCTATTCCACAGACCCTCAGCTAATAGAAAATCACCTTGTTTTTGTCAGATAAGTGCCTCTGTCTAAACTGCTGGGGTTTATAGAGCAATTGGAAAATTGTACATTTCCATGTAAGCTAGGGACAGTTTCACACAACTTTGTAATGGTATAGTAGTGAAAATAGTACTTAGCTACTCTTTCTAATAACACAAGCTGTCATTTTGCATTGATCAGCGTTTTTCCGTTCGCTTTTTACTCCGCAGCTAAATTCTGAGAAGCCATTATTCTCGTGAACGAAAGATGGCGATCTAGCACAAGGTACAGTCAACACATTGCCCATTGCCAACACAAGAGCACAGCCACGGACAGGCGGCGCTGAGCTACCTCGCAAACTATCGCCTGGGACTTTTAGATTTACTAAATTACGTTGTTTTTATACTGTATGTGGATCTTAACGTGTCTTAATATCCTGCCTAGACATGTTTAACCATCCGAACCTATTTTTTTATATACTGTACATGTACTGTACACAGTCCAACAAGCATCAGGTAAGACGTGATGTTAACTGAATAAAACATCAAAAAGATTTTCGTTTAAAGACTAGTTGCATAGAGCGCCTTAATGTTAAACTTCCTTTCCGTTTCTCCCTTTATATTGTTTCTGTAGTACAGCCTTTACTTTAAGGCTGGCGTACGCGAAGATGACAATAATTCAATCAAACTTAATTCTAAAATTCTTGAATTGCACTCAGAGGAGATCTCTCTGAAAAACACTGCACTGCTCTAAATCTGACACACCCGCCACACATGAAGCTGAGGAGAATGAAGAAATGGAAATGATCTCCAGAAGACGAGTCTCCGCTGGTATTGTGAGACACCTGGACACGCGTGGCGTGCACTGTCCTCACAGGGCTGGCCAGGCTAGCTCTACCCGTCATGAGGGTGGTACAGAGTATGTCTTTCTGCAGGGCAGGGTTCTGTGGGTGTATGGGGTTCGGCGCCCCTCCAGGCACACAGAGACCCCCCCCCAGCTAATGTAAGGCTTAGGACATGAGCTTCATCCCCCTGTTTTTCATTTTCAGCTCCACTGTGTTGATGTTGTGAGCGCCGTTGGGCAGACGCCCGTTTTCACAGCTGTGAAAATATGTCTTGAGACACCGTGAAACTGAGATCATCAATGCAGAGAAGCCCGCAGTGGTAGGAGACTCGGAGCAGGGCGGCGTGGATGGTGTCTTAGCAGGTTACTCTCTAGACCGAGCCAGCCTGTTCTGTACCTTTTTTGTTCAGAACTTCACTTTGAATTAGGGCCCGGTCTTCGCCCTGTCTCGGACAGAAACGCCTGAGAGCCGGCCCCGTCCTGCTTCGGACAGCTGAGCCTCGCAGTGCAGATTGCGAGATGAAGCACGTTCCAAGGGGGCTGCAAAACCCCCCCCAAAAAACCCAAAATGCTAAAAATGTTTTTAATTGTCATCCAGTCTCCTCCAGGATTCATCGTGAGTCAGTTGAATCCTCGATAGCTACATTGTGGGAGCACCAGGTTTTGTGGGCAACCAAATTCCCTCCCACCAGATCTCTGTAGTCCTTTGAAAAGCTTGACCACATTCTTCTGCTATTGTGTCTACTACAGGTTTCTCCCCATTTCAACACCTAATGATGCAAACCTCTAATTGCTGAACTGCAGGGTACAACCACTGATTTTAAGAACATAACTGTATGAGAGGAGATCACTCAGCCCATCTAGTCCATTTTATAGCCAGCAGGTAGTTGATCCAAGGGTCTCGTCCTGCTGTTTCTCGAAAGATACCAGGGGACTGGCTTCAACAGCATGGCTGGGCAGCTCGTTCCACACTCCCGCCACTCTTTTTGTATATAAATACTAGCATAAAAGGGCTGTGCTGCAAAAGCCCAGGCTGTTCACAAATGACTGTTGGGTGGTTTAGATAATGTTTCTGCTGGTGCTTATTTGGGGCACCCTGGCCAGATCAGAAGACACCCCAGCAGACGAGACACCCGGCCACAGTGTCACACAAGTTTGCTATGTGCTTCTTTGGCCTCTAGGCTCTGGGCTGGTCGTGCATAGCTGTGGTGGAACTGAGGCTTTCGCTCAGAGCTACAGTAGCGTGAGTCAGCCTATGTGGAGACAGAGCCGCCGAGGACATGACGAGTCTAGCCAAGCGGGAAAGAGAAAATGAGTGTAATATATGAAAAATGAATACCTTCGGAAAAAAAAACACCCATTCTCTGCTCAGATCGGAGAGGAAGAGGGCTGGATTCCCGATTGCAGAACAGGATCAAAGGTTGCGGCCAAATCAGTCTGTTTCTGGAAGACTGCAAGACCAGGGGAATAGTAACAGTACACTGGTGTGCGAAGAAGCAGTGACAGATCTTTCTCTCTCAAAGACCATTTATCTATTTAGGTATGAAGACACTGAAGTCATTGAGTAATACATTCGCTCTTTTACACGTGAAATATATCCCTAATTGCCAGACATAAGGTAGAGATTTCTTTCACTTGTACTTGAAACAAAACAGGTGAAGGAAAGATAATGGTTAAATCTTTGGCATTGGTTTTGAAGTCATACTCATGCTTTCCCTTCCAGAGTTCTAGTCAAACGTGCCCATTGCTCTTTGAGACGTTAAAGGTTGTGACTGCGGTACCAGCAAAGGCAGAATTTTTAAAATCTATAATATCTGATCCTTGAAGTTGCATTTCTTACGTTATCAGGCAAAACTTGATTAAATTTGCTAAGCAGCTGAAAATATTGTTTTCATCATCCACTGTTTTACATTTCTGCTTGCAGTCAGCAAAAAAAACAGTGTCTGGACGAAAAAGGATTGTTTGGTCCACGTTGTTGTAAAATGTGTGCATTTCGAAAAGACCCAGAACAAGCATGTTCTGCTTCAGTTTGAGTGCCCAGTCAGTTTCAGAAGGGAGTTAACATAATTACCTTCAGCAATGCTGTAGGATCTGCATCCCTCAATGCTGAGGGGATGAGATTAAGAAATGACACAATCTAGATCTCAATGTTTTATCACAAAGGCAAAGAATCCTAGGATTCAGCTGCAGGGAGAGAAAAGGTCCCGTATTCAGGAGATGCATTGTTTAGGTCTGTGTTTTTCACTGCAATTATCTTGAGCAGAAAATCTTTTGCCCTGCCGGTGAGGAGTGTGGTTGGAGATGAGAAGATGTAATTCATTTTAACAATAGCTTTCTTTCAGTGGCTGGATGGAGTCCATGATTTCTGCAGTGGGGAGATAGGGCACCACAGCAGCCAGGCTGGTCTCAGCCTGCCTCCACTGCACCCTGTTTGTGAGGAGGGGCTGAATGCAGCTGGGTTATGTCACATCAAAGTCATCTCTAAAATTGCTCTGCGTATGCACAGCTTAACGGAATCGTTCTGGAGAAGACTTGAGAAGAATTGTGAAAAGTCAGAGGAGTGGTTACTCTGTGGAAGGGGGCCTGAAACCAACAAGCCGTCAAGGCAAGAATAAGTGGAAACCAAAATACATGTGACTCGAAATATGTATAATTGCATATACTATTTACAGCTGCATTCTAGGAAATATTGAAATTAAATTGCTATGACAATTTTTACTAGTCAGTGTACAGATACCACACTAATAAGACCAGATGAGGGCAATACAATTATCTGTGTTCAGTTCAGCTTTGTCTCGTCAGACAGTTCTGTTTTTAACTCTGTGAAATGGTCATGGCAAATTTCCCATAATTCCTAATATTGTAAGTAGGTATTCCTAAAAAAAGGATTCACGGTATATGCATGCTACAGTATGAATGTGTTGTTTTCTGCTATTTAACAAATTTGACTTTTATTACTTTGACAGGTTAGTTTTTAGTGAGAGAGAAAAAAACAAAGTAGCCATTAGCCATCTTTAGTCATTCTTCACATTGAACAACATGATCCACAGAAGATCATAGATCACAGAAGGTCAGGGTGGGTTATACTGTATATGACCAGTTAATATGAAGCGTTGTAGGACACAATCCATCACATTTGACAACCAGCTCTGATTGACATTCGTCAGTCTTGTATTAGAATCTGTTTGACCTGACAGTACAGTCTGCATGTAAGGAGACTGCCTTAATCTCCCCCTTGTGTTCTTTGTCACTGATGGAATTTGTTCTTCTCTACAAAGAAAAATTAAAATGCTACATTCTGTACTGTAAAACATACATTATCAACATGAATCCAAAATAGAGGTAAAAACAGATGTATCAGGATTAACAGCCTAATCCTGGCTAATATGTCACGGGAGAAGGTACAATTTGTGATACTATGGTGGCCATTAACCCAATGTCCTGGCCACACTCCCCTCTGGCCTTTTACAATCTT